CTCATCCTCTTTCCCCCCAAACCACCTTCTTCCAACAATATTTCTGCCCAGGGTCCCCCACCCCTCCCAGGCTTCCAGCCTCAGGCGCTCCTCACTTTCACTGGCCTCCCCATATTTTATGTTACAAAGTCTTCTCCCACCTCCACACCTCTCCAACCTGTCTCCTCTATTCACGAATCTCCACCCTAGTTCAGTCCCTTACACGGTCTCTCTGCCTGCAGTCCAATTCAGCTTGTGCCCAGCTGCCCAACTGATTCTCCTAAAGCACAGGTCTGACTGTATCACTCTCCTCTGAGACCAAACAGAAATTCCCATTCACTTTTTAAAGCCCTTCAAGACCTGGCCCAACCCACCTTTCCAGCCTAATGACACGTGAATCCCCTTCACACTGGCCTCTTTCATACAGGGCACAGGGGCCAGTGTGCCGTGTGTAGTCTGCACACACCTCCTGTCCCTGTTGTATCCCAAGGGGGTGACGCAGTGCACCAAGCACACAGTAGGCATGAAATAAAGGCTTCTTGAGTGATTGGAATTGAACAAAGCCCACCCCCTTACCAAAAGCTGAACAAGTGAAAAACATATGGCTTGCCTTAATTAGAATTTCACCCTTCAAAAGGTAGAGGAACCACCAAAGAGAACTGCTACAATTCTAGACGACATAGCGCCCAACAAGGAAGAGCGGGGGGCTGGGGCGGAAAGGACGGGACCCTTGGGCCTGGCGGTAACTACACCACTGAGCTGACAACAGGCCAACTGTTCAGAAACAGAGGAGAGATCGGCCACGGCCTGAGGAAAAGCTCCACAAAGGACGGCCCAGACATCCAGTGACCATGGAGAAGTGAGGGGCGCCTTCCGTGAACTGACCAAGAAGGGAAGGCAGCAGAGTCAAGACTCATATGCACGTGACTGCAACAACATCCCTGGGCATCAAACAATCAAAAGTGAGAGCTGTGAGACTCGGAAAGAGGCTGGGCCCCAAAGAGGAGACCCAAGAAGACGCCTCGCCCCCCCCCCTCCTGGCAGAGGGGTCTGTGGGTGGGCAACGCTGGGTAGTCGGTCAGATTTTTCAACATATTCATCAGCTGGGTGGAGCTTTTTTCGTCTTCCTCCTGGGCATTTTTTTTTTCTCTTTTTAAAAGACAACTCATTATTAAAAACGATTCTCTAGAACAGGGAAGAGGATGAACAATGGAGGGGAATCAGGTGACGTAAAATCAACAGATATCAACAAAATCCACCGCTTGTTTAACCATCGAGCGCTGAGCACAGTCAGCCCCCTTCGTCGGCCCAAGCTTACAGAGTTCAGAAAGGGAGAGGGGAAATCTGGGACCCTCACCCAGATCTGGGGAGAATCCATTTCAGAAGAGGCACATAAAGGACAGGGAGGATCTCATGGTTCCAAAGAAAGCCAGAGAAACAGGCCCTCACAAGGGTCTGGATGCTCCTGGGAATCCAAGTCAGGAAACACAGGCAGAAATCACTCATATTAGGGCAAAATCCCCTCTTTTCTTCCACCAGAGATCCTGGTAACTGAACCGGGGGATCTGAACTCTGATTTTAAAATGGATTCTATAGAAAGGACTGCAAGTGAGCATGGGGGCAGAAAGCTGGCATCTTGCTGAAGGTTGGCACACTTGGAACCTGGCTCCAGCTTTCAGGGACTGAGCACGAAGGATAAAACCATCTCAAGGTGGGGGAGGGGGCAGGGGCAGGAAGGTGAACTGGAAGGATTCAAAAGCCACCGCTTGGGGAAAAGGGCAATGAGAGGCCAGAATACCCAGCTCCATGCCTGGCTTCTGCTTTCTCTTCCAAGGAGAAGGACCACAGAAAGCAGCCAGCTCCTGGCAATATCTGCGAATATTCTGGAATGTTACTGCTCCAAGAGAAATGATGAATTGGGTGGATTCAAGGACTGGGGACAACTTGAGGCACCAGGCACCAGGCTCCCAGTCATGTAAAAGAACACGGCCCAAAAGGCTTCAGAACTCTGATATAAGCAGTGACCCTGGGGACCACCGAGGGCTAATGGGGAAGCCAGTCTCCTGCCTCTTGGTGGACAGGTGGCAGAATATAAGGGCTCAATGCAATGATTGGCTTGGCTTGGCTACACAAGGGAAAGCTGGGGCAGAGAAGAGGGGTCACACTGCTTAAAACATTTTAAAAGAAACAAAAAAAAGCAACTGCCTCAAGTCTCCTGGCCCAGGGGAGTTGCATCCCAGGGCACGAGAAGATATGGGAGAAAGGCTGTGGAAAAGGGGTGGGGATGGGTCTACAGAACCAGAGAAGGACAAATGTCCTGACTCCCTCCACCCATACAAAGTGAAGAGAAGACAATCTGCCCACTAGTAATCAGCGAGCTGGCCTTGGATTCCTAGCAAAATTCTAGAAGGCAGCATTCTTCGGAAGGGCTGCAGAAAAGGAAGTAGCTTGCCCTCTCCCCACCAAGGGCCAGTCTGGCTTCATGGAGGCCAGACGCGGCCAGATCCACCCAGCTTTCTCAACCTCTTGTGACAGAGGAGGGCCTGAAAGGGGAAGAGCCAGCCAAAGAGCTTCGTTGAGGAGCCATCTGTGTCTGAATGAGAGAAGTGACAGGGATCTGCCCAGGACAGGGCAGTGGGGGGCAGAGCCAATATGGCGGAGGAAAAGCAGTGACTTGCTTGAGCGCTCCCCCAAACCCCTCCAAATACCTGTAAAAATGACTCTAAACAAATTCTAGGGCAGCAGAACCCACAAAAAGACAGAGTGAAACAAAAGTCCAGCCCAAGACAAGCTGGATAGTTGATAGGAAAGGTCTGTTGTGCCAGGATGGGAGAGGAGCACAGTTTAGCATGGGCCGCACAAGCAAAGACAGCGCCCCAGTAAACCCAGAGTAGCAGGGGCAGCTGTGGCAATTTCCAGACTTCTCAACCCACAAATGCCAAAGGCAAATTAGAAGGCCAGTGGGAAAGGCCTGTCGGACCTGGGTGAGAGAGGAGTGCGGTCCAGCCCTGGCCCTAGCGCAGCACTGGGGCGGTGGCCACAATGGTAGTGGCTGCCACTCACTACCCACACACTGTGGGGGGACTGAGCAGCTGATCAGAGGGGGATTGCAGGGATCTCTTTGCTGGAACTGAGGCAGGATTCTCTTGCTTTGCCTGTGCTTGGATCTGGGTCACAGTACTGGGTGGTAGTCCTGGGGTGAGAAAGAGAGATGGTGTGGTGGAGCTTGTAGTGGTGGTGGAGAGGGAATCCTCCTCACAGTTCCAAGGCAGACAAGAGTGTTTCTGGTCACTCACAGACCAGAGCACAGGCCAGGAAAAGAGTAAACACCTCATCCTTGATTGTACCACCTTGGTAGAACTGAAAATTTACAGGTCCCTAGAAGCATCTCTGAAAACAGCTGCATAAAACCCCTGAAGCTTGGGACAGTACATTCACCACACTGGAAGCAGATCCCTACCTTAACAAAGAGTCCAAAACTCAAGTAATTGGCTGGGATCATAAGCAAAAAGCAGAAAAAAACTCAGACTACAGAATCTTACTTTGGTGACAAAGAAGATCAAAACATACAATCAGAAGAATACAATAAAGTCAAAAAGCTCCTACATCCAAAGTCTCCAAAAAAAATGTGAATCAGTCCCAGGCCATGGAAGAGCTCAAAAAGGCTTTTGAAAGCAAGTAAAAGAAGTTGAGGAAAAACTGGGAAGAGAAATGAGAGTGATGCAAGAAAATCATGAAAAACACGTCAACAGCCTGCTAAAGGAGACCCAAAAAATACCAAAGAAAATGACACCTTAAAAAATAGCCTAACCCAAATGGTAAAACAGATCCAAAAAGCCAATGATGAGAAGAATGCCTTAAAAAGTAGGTCAGGGCAGGGATTAAACGGGAAGTCCAACTCTGGTGACTCTCTCAGATTCTACAATTAGTGTTTAGGAGTTAGACTTGTAGCAGATGCCTAGGCTGCCACAAGTGTAAGAAAAGCATCATCCATAGCCTCCCCCTGGGCAGGAGGCCTGAATCTACATTCATCCTGCTCTCCAGTCTCTTTCTCTCCTTTGATCTTCACCCAATTGCTCTCCAAAGAGGGGTAGAGTTAGTTGGGCCTTCAATGCCTCTCCCCGTCTCCTTTTATCTGACCTGTTTTGTTTGCTTCACACACAATGATCCATTGTCATGGATGAGTTCCTGGCATGAACCCTTTCCCACTAAGTCTCAGTGACACTCCAGCCACCTCATTTACCCACCACCCTGTGCTACCCACCCTCTGAGCCTTGACCGATAGATAGCCCCTTTCCAGCATGCATGCATGCCCTCAACCACCATTAATTAAACACATGGTATATGCAACAACCTGCATTCATGCTAGTCAAATACATACCAGGAAAGGGACAGCCCTGCAACTGGGTCCTGCTTGCCCCACTCCTCTCCTGTTGCCGACATCTGCCACCCTCCAACACCCAGGGCACAGTGACAGCTGGCCAACGTTTTCCCTCCCCCTCAAATTTCAGCAAGTCTTGAGTCAGACTCATTCTTCCCAGGCCAGGGCCCCATTAGGAGGCACAAGCCAGAATGATCCAATCTGCTCGTGCAATGGTGCTCCCCTCTCCTTCCATGCCCTTCCCAGGTACTGGCCAGATGTCGCAGTCTTCCTTGACAATGGCAATGATCCCCACCAGAGTCACCAGCTCTGTTTGCTCTCTCCCCATCCACCATCCCCTTGGGGAAACAGCGGGCAGATGTCCCAGGGGCATCACAAAGTCACAAAGACCTACCCCCTATATAACGCATGTTGGGTGCTTCAGGGAATGGGGGCCCAAACACCAAGGGCCTCCCAGACTGGGCTCTCAGGGGCGGAGGGAAGGGCCAGAACTGTGCCAGGACAGGTTCTGCCTCTGAACCTCCTTGGCAGCTGCAGGAGGGAGCTCTCTTGGATCTAACGACCCCGGGGGACCCTCTCAGAGCCGCCCTGCTCTTCTCTCCACCTCCAGGCACATCCCACGCGGGGCAGGGGCACAGACCGTGATGTGATGCCGCGGTGCCAGCAGCGTGTCCGTGGGGAAGCGGTAGATGCACACAGGGAAATGGTGAATGAGTTGTTTGAGAACGAAGCCGCTGATGTCCACGCTCTCCTCCAGGGACTCATTGAGGACCCGGATAAACTTGCCGCGTTTGTGAATCTTCACAATCTTCAGGGAGAAGTCCGAGACCTTCCTCCTGGGGAGACAAGAGCCAGGCAGTCCGGGATGGGTGGGGCCGGGAACAGCCTCACCCCAGCCCCGCTCCTCGCAGGACACTTACCCGCCCTGGTCCTGGAGGGCACTGGAGAGCGAGCTGTGCCTTGCCGGGCCAATGCCAACCACGGCGGTGCCGAGGCTGCTGCTGCTGCTGTCCGTGGTGGTCGTGGGTCTCCTGAGCTCCAGGGCGGGGAGGTCGCCTGTCCAGGGGGCGAGAATCAGAGCCAGCGGAGGCACCGGCCCCGTGCTCCCCGGACCCTCCTCGCGGGGCAGCCGAGGCGCTCACCAAAGCCGCGGACCTCCCGCGCCCGGGTCGGCGACGTAAGGGAGGGGCTGGAGTCAGCGCCTACGGACGAGGGGACACTGGTGTGGGCAGCGGAGCCCCTCTCGGTGGTCGTGGCCACGGAGCTGAGGGAGCTACTCGGCAGCAGACTCCAGTCCACGCTCTTCTTCTGGCGGCGGGACTTCTCGGGCTGGGGGCCAAGGAATTCTGGGGAGTCCAGGACATGGGCAGAGGTGGCCCTGTGGGGAGGTGAAAGAAACCCTGGGATCCCAGTCACCCCTGATGGGGCACATGGGGTGGGGGGTGGGGGGGTGAGGGGCCTGTACCTCTTCTTGCTATGCATGTCCTCAAACAGGTTGGGATAACGCTGAGCTACGCTGTTCCAATCCACATCCTCCAGGCGGAAGTGATGCCCCTGAGAGACCCAGAAGCGGGGCCAGGGTCTGACATGTGTGTGTTACCACCGACCAGCCCCGACAACGAGCCTCCCCCCAGCTTTACCTCCTGAGAGCTCTGGTCCTGGGACTGGTCACTCATATCCGTCATCAGGGCCTCAGCGGTCACCACCTAGGCAGAATTGGGCTGGTGGGCACAGCTGAGACCACCTGCTTCCCTGCCCCCCACCTGCATGCTGGCTGCTGTGTGCTAAGCTGGGCCCGCGGGCAAGGTGGAGAGGCGTGCTGGATTCAGGAGCAGAACCAGGCAGGCACACACACACACACACACACACACACACACACACACACACACGGTAAACAAGGGTGGAGGTGCAGGGGTTAGGGCTAGGGAAGACAGCCGTGGAGGGGCACGTAGGCCCAGGATGGTGAGAGATCACGAGAAGGTTGGCTGGAGTCACGCAGAGGTTAGGGGCACCTACCATGTGCCAAGCACTGGCCTCAAAGCCAAGCAGTCATAAATACTGTCATGTTTGATCCTCACAACACCTCTGGGAGGGAAGGGCTATTATCACCTTCATTTTACAAGTGAGGAAACGGAGGCAGGCAGAAGGTAAAAGACTTGCCCAGGGTCACATGTAAGTGACTGTAGCAAGTGACTGAGGCTGGATTTGAACTTGGGTCTTCCTGACTCCAGGCACAGCAGTTGCTCCGTGTCATCAGCTGCCTCAGTTTCAAGGCTGGAGCCAGATAACAGACAACCCTAAATCCCAGGCAAAGTTTATATTTTACCCTTGGAGGGAACAGGGAGCCAGTGAAAGTTTTGGAGTGAGGTCACTGACAGGATCAGGTGCACAGAGCACTGGGCTTGGAGTCAGGAAGACCTGACTTCTAATCCAGCCTCAGACACTCAATGGCTGCATAATTCTGGGATCCTGGAAGGGGTTAAGGCCAATGGAATTGAAAGGGGTTAAGGCCAATGGAATTGGAAGGGGTTAAGGCCAATGGAATTGAAAGGGGGAAAGACCAATGGAATTGGAAGAGGGAAAGGCCAATGGAATTGGAAGGAGGAAAGGTCAATGGAATTGGAAGGGGTTAAGGCCAATGGAATTGAAAGGGGGAAAGGCCAATGGAATTGGAAGAGGGAAAGGCCAATGGAATTGAAGGGGGAAAGGCCAATGGAATTGGAAGGGGGAAAGGCCAATGGAAGGCGATGTGGCCAAAACCGGAAGAGATGGATTCTCCACGGTGAAAAACTCAGGGGATGAGAAAGTGGTAACACCCTCATCAGAAAGAGGGACATTGGGATGGGTGTGGGGGGAAAACAAGGAGTCAATCAGTCAGCAAGCAATGAGTGGCCTGGGAGGGGTTGGGAGGAAAGACCACCAGGTCTATTTGGTCCACGTTCGGTGGGATGTTTCTAGGGGTCTTCCTGTCTTAAATGTCCACCAAGCAGGAGGGCATGAGGCTGGAGCTCAGGTCTGAGAGTCACCTCCACAGAGAGGACAGTGGAGTCCACAGCTGATGAGATCGTGTGTGGGCCAGAGCCCTGGGTGACACCCATCAAGAGTGAGTGTGACTTGGAGGGCCATCAGGCAGGGTGGAAGAGAACCAGGACCAGCACCAGGAATCGTCCATAAGCAAGGCTAGCTGGGAGAAGAGTGTGATGGCCAACATCACCAAGAGATGCCCGAGAGAAAGCTGCTGGATTTGGCACCTTAGACATCAGCCGTTTCAGCTGAATGATGAGGTTGGAAGCCAGACTGAAAGGGAAGAAAGTGAAGAGACGGCCTTCTCAAAGACAAGACAGGAAGAGGGCCAGTGGAGACGGGAATGAGGATAGTTTAAAGATGGTGGAGAAACAGGCATGGCTGTAGGCAGGGGGGAAGCAGCCAGGAGATGACTAGTGACAGAGTCGGGGTAATGTCAGTCAATGAGCATTTATTAAGCGCCTACTGTCCGCCAGTCCCTGCTCTCCAGGCACTCCCACTCGAATGGCAGAAACGACAGGAAAACAGCTAAGTACAAAGAAGAGACATGCGCACACAGGAAGATTGAAGAAGATAGGAAGGCAGGTGGCCAGGAGCCCTCTCCAAGGGAGACAGATGGAGGAGGGAAGAGTGGGAAAAGATGTCTGGATGAGACGAGGAGGCCACAAGGCCAGTCCTCAGCCAGGCCCTGCCACGGGAAGTTTGAGGTGAGTGTGGCGATCTCTACAAGACATGCCAGGGTCATGGAGCTAAAGCAAGATGGTCCCTCGTTTCACAGATATGTCCAATGAGCGGCTAGAGATGTGGGACTGGAGGTCCAGAGAGGTCATGGCAGGGATGGCAACTGACTCCATGGGAGCTGATGAGATCATCCAATGAGACACACTGAGGGAAAGGAGAAGTAGGCCCAGGACAGGGCCTGGGGTGGGGGGGGGGGATGCCCACAATTACAGGGTAAAAGAGAGCAATGAATTAGTAAAGGTTAGACAGGAAGGAAACGACAGACAGAGGATCCTGAAAGGGGCAGGGGTGAGAATACCCAGGTGTCTCCAGGAGGCAAGCCTGACCACTGGCAGAGGGACTGCTAGAGTGGAGAGAAGCTTCAGTCAAGGGAGTGAGCAGCCAGGAGGTCAGACTACAGAGGCTGAGAGGAGGAGGAGGAGGGAGAATGGGGAAGGGG